AGAATATGTAACACAACAGTAAATAACTTAAATATTCCCCTTTAAACAATGGGTACATGTAATCAATTGAAAGCAATAAAGAACTAATGAGATTTCTGCTCAACATTAAGGTTTAGGTAGACATGCTTCGACTCTCAGGCAACCACAAAGAGAATTACACTTATATCTCAAAACAAATAAAAACCAGAACTGTCAGAAAATCGAGCTGTATGGGAATGCAACAACCTAGGATTTAAAGAAGCCACATTCATCCCGATGGGTGCCTTTTCCAGGGATTCAAAGAAGCTCCATCTAATAACAGAAACAAACACAGGGAGGCTGCCAAATTAAGGAGACAAAGAAATATGACCCAAATGAAAGAAAAGAAGAATACTCCAGAAAAACACTAAATGAAATGGGAGATACCCAATCTCTCAGATGTAGAGTTCAGTACATTGGTAATGAGGATGCTAAAGAATTCATTGAGCACCGCAGCAACATAAAGAAGACGGTTACATGAAGTGAAGTAAAGAAAAATCAACAGGGAACCAACAGTACAGGGAAGAAAGCGGGGATTCAGATAAAAGATTTGGAATGAAATAAATAAATAAATATTGAACCAGGACATAAAGAAGAAACAAGGATTCAAAAAAACAAGGATAATATAAGAAGTCTCTAAGACATTTCCAAATGTGCCAACATCCGAATGATAAGGATGCCAGAAGGAAAAGAGGAAGAGCAAGGAACTGAAAACTTATTTGAAAAAATAAAGAAAGAAAACTTCCTTAGTTGATGTAGAAGATAAACATACAAGTCCAGGAAGCACAGAGTTCCAAACAAGGTGGACCCATGAAGACCACAGGAAGACGCATCAAATTAATGTCAAAAGTTAAAAATAAAGAGAGAAACTTACAAGCAGCAAGAGCCCTGACCAGTGTAGCTCAGTGGATTGAGTGCCAGCCTGTGAAACAAAGGATTGTGAGTTCAATTTCCAGTCAGGGCACATGTCTGGGTTGTGGGCCAGATCACCAGTTGGGGATGAGTGAGAGGCAACCACACATTGATGTTTTTCTCCCTCTCTTCCCCTCTCACTAAAAATAAATAAGCCTTTAAAAAAAATTTAAAAAGCAGTAAGAGAAAAGCAAAGAATTACCTACAAAGGAGTAACCATAAGACAACCAGCTGGTTTCTAAAAATAAACTTTGCAGGCAAGAGGAGACTGGCAAGAAGATTTCAAAGAGATACATTGCAAGGACATAAAACCAGAATTAGTGTATGTGGCGAAGCTGTCATTTAGAATACAAGGTCCGATAAATTGCTTCCCAGACAGAGTAAAGCTTATGGAGTACGTCATCAGTAAGACCGAATTACAAGAAGTGTTAAAGTGACTAATTTAAGACCAAGAAGAAGATCAAAACTATGACTTTAAAAAGGCAAAAATTCAGAACCATCAATAACTGAAGCTAAAAGAGAAGAAAACAAAAAACCAAGTAAAAAACCAGAACCATATCGATGGAGATAATTTGGAGGGATATCAGATGGGAGGGGGAAAGGGAAAATGGGGAGAAAAGATGCAGAGATTCAAAAGCATAATTGGTAGGTACAAAATACACAGAAGGAAGTTAACAATGGTATAGAAAATGGAAAAGCCAGAGATTTATACATGACCTATGCACAGGAACTAAGGGGGAGGGATTGCTGGTTGGAAAGGGCACTGGGCACAGTGGGCTACAGGGAGAATAATTGGAACTGTAATAAAATAATCACTAAAATATACATAAAAATAATACAAACTTTCTGCACTATTGAGACACCAGGGCACACCTGAAAAACATGACAAGAAAAGGCCATAAAAGTAGCAACAAACGAGAATGTAAAGAAATAGAAACCTAAGGTCTGTGATTAGAGTTCAATAGGACATTCAACTGTGCCTGCAAATGACCTGACACCTGACCTCTGCTTGCTTAGGGGACCATGGCTCTACCCAGTTCTTATTCTCTTTAACACGACCTACACAATTTTTGTTGTAAACACTGCATCCTTAGGTGCACTTGTGTCTCTCCAATAACTGGGATAATCAGTGTGGCTTATGAGTAGTGATAGGTTCCTGTGCAAAAGCAATGGCATCAAAATAGCGTTCAAGCCCCACGTGCTCACAAGGGCTGCCGAGAGCTGCTCCGTGTTGAAAGTGGATAATCAGGAACGCTCAGAAGAGCTTTAGAGATTCAGCACGAAAGCATTCTAATGATGGCAGTGAAGAGGAAAGAACGAGGGGAAAGGGGCCGATTTTCAGACAGTGTCTACACATGTCACCTGGGGCCTTTAAATGGAATGTCTTGTTTAGGAGCACAGCAGAAGCTGAGATTGCAAGCATCACCAAGGATGCGGCAGACTCTTCCTGTTCTCTGAAAAAGCAGTCAGCCTTAACAGTGCTAACAGGGCCATGCAGACATACACCCCACCCGATTTGGCTGATTGGCCCGTCTCGAGCAATCCTTGAGCTAGGACTAAGAATCTGTTTGTTCATGAGGACTTGCACACACCAAAACATCTCTGGTGCAGACATGGGGAGCTGGGAGGGAGATGTGGTTGCTGAACATTGTAAGGGCTGCAGAGGAAACACGGTGAGCCCATTTCCTCATCCAGCCAGTACCTGACAGAGCAGGTGGGGCGCCTAACTTTTTGCGCCTCTGGGTGCACTGGGAGAAGGGATCTTGGGATACACATTAAATTCATTACAACAGGTGATCACAAAAAAGTCTCATAGTGTTTTCAGTAAACTGACGATTCTGTCTTGGGTCGCATTCATGGCCATCCGGGGCTGCAAGCAGCTAGAGGGCCGCCAGCAGGACTCCCCTGGAGTATAGGATCGAGAGGACAGCTTCCTGTGTGAAGAAGTAAACACCCCACTGGGGAGATAACCGTGCTGTACGTCTCCCGCATCACTTCTGAATACATCCCAGGGATCATGTACGCGTGTTCTCAGTACTGCAGGGAGGACGCCAGCGACATTTACAAAAACACACTTGAAGGCTTAATGGAGTGGATGATATTTACACACTGGGTAATACCTAGCCTGTCGTGCAAAAGATAACTGAATGTCCAGACTCAGCCGTGAATCACTGGGGTCTCATTAGTGCTGAGCTGCGTGCTAAGCTCAAAAAGGAGGTAGACAAATGTAGCTACAGCGTAGTCATTTCGCCTGCACAGACTGCAGGAAATCACAGACAGGGTTCCCATGAAGACTATGAGGCAGATGTTAAGCACTCAAAGACACCAGAAAAGTGCGGAAAACTCAGGATAAAGAAGACAGTGAAAACAGCAGCTAGATGTTTCTCATGTCCGTGGCCCCTGCTGTCCTCTTGCCTTGTGCTGAGGGCCTAATGTGCTATCGGGTAGAGATTGTCCCCAGCTCTGGAGCCAGACTCACGGGTTCAAATCTGGCCACTTGTCTGTTCTGTGTCCTTGGAAAAACCGCTTCCTCTCCTCAATCCTATCTTGCCCAGAATACAGTAACAGTTACTACTTCCCCGTGTGCTGTTACGATTGAAAAAAATAAGGATTCTCAGAAAGCAAGCCCTGGAAAATTGTCATTCAGGGAGGAAGGCTGCTCTTTCTTAAAAATATTTTATTCTCTCGTTTTTAGGAAGGGTAAGGAAGGGAGAAAGAAATTCGAAGTGCAAAAAAACATTCATTGTTTGCCTCTCTCACTCCTGTAACTTGGGAACTGGACCAAAACATAGTCATGTGCCCTGACCAGGGACTGGCCACGTGACCTTTCGGTTTGCAGGACGGCATTCAACCCACTGTGCCACTCAACCCAGGGCAAGGTTGCTTTTTTCCCGTATTTACACAGGAAAATACTGAGGCCTACAGGGTGAATCGCTTTCCTGTAACCGTAACTTTGGTCAATAATCTAAGACTTAGATCCAGGTTGCACGGCCAAGATATGGGGAGTCTAATCACTCTTCTATTGTCTTTGGCTTCTGGGAGAGCTAGCAGACTCAACACATAGCCATTCATCGCTTAGCACCTGGACCACCTTCAAGTCCCACTGTAGTCCAGCAACCCCAGATGAAAGACCGCAGAAAAGGTGAAAACTAAAAAGCAAAAATTATTATCTTACTTAATGTTTGCATTTACAGAAGCGATGAAGTGTGTTAATAAGGCAGATGATTCTTTAAAGGATATGATATGTACCTGCTACATTGTGTACAGAAAATAAAATCCAAATATTCTGAATGTTTTCCACTATTAAAAAGTTATTCCATGAAACAACTGTTATTCAAGGGGTGAAAATGGGTGACACTACAACATTCGTCTTGCTTGTTTCACTCTTTTATTTTTTTAAAACAGTAGCCCAAAATTATGAGAATAGGATGCGAGCACATAATATACTAAGAACCTATCCCCATTACATACACTCCTGAAAAATGCTCATCAGGAATCCTAAAAGAAATGCAAGTATAATAACACAAACTACATGAGAAATAAAGAAAAAATCTCATATAAGAAAAAATTATAACAATTAAACATATCAACATTTTGCTAGAGTGGGGAAATGAAAAAACATTTATCATATTCACATTACCCCAACTGCATTTCAACAGAATAAAGTTTGTGTTAGCAGAGGAAATCACTGATAGAAGAGAAAAATTTTATAAATTCACAGAAGGTATAAGACCATTCTCCAGGGTGAACTCTCTGAATATAACACAGTGGACTGCTAGAGAATAAAGGATTTCCCACCTCCAACGCACCCCTGAGGCATTTTTCCACAGCAAAGTCTCCAAGGATAACAAAGGTTACTCATAAAACAACATTGCCCACGTTCCCTGCAGCCATAAAAGCTTGCTCCTGTGTGTAGCCTCTGTAACATGATAGTTAATGTGACAGATAAAAGATCACCAACATTCACCACACTCATAAGCTTTTCTTTGGTGTGAACTATATCATGGCAGTGGAGGTAAAGGTAACTGGTACACAGAAAGGATTTTCCCATTAAGTGCACTCAAAGTACTTTAACCAGTGTGAACATTTTGATGAAAATGGAAGGAAGAGTTACAGGATCAAGAGTTTCCATGTTCACTGCACCCATAAGGCTTTTCTCCAGGGTGAAGTCTCTGATGACAATGAAAGTCATATTTCCTCTTAAAAGATTTTCCACATTCACTGCACTCATAAGGCCTTTCTCCAGTGTGAACTCTGTGATGTTTATTAAGATCAGACCTACTGGTAAAAGATTTTCCGCATTCACCACACTTATAAGGCCTTTCGCCAGTGTGAACTCTCTGATGTTGACGGAGACTAGAGCAACACGTGTAAGATTTCGCACATTCACCACACTTATAAGGCCTTTCTCCAGTGTGAACACGCTGATGACGAAATAAGATAGTCTTTTCCTTAAATGATTTCCCACATTCAGTGCACTCATAAGGCCTTTCTCCAGTGTGAGTTTTCTGATGATAACAGAGACCAGTTTGACGGGTGTAAGACTTCCCACATTCACCACACTTATAAGGCCTCTCTCCAGTGTGAACTCGCTGATGACGATTAAATGTATTCTTTTTCTTAAATGATTTTCCACACTCAGTGCACTCATAAGGCCTCTCTCCAGTGTGATCTCTTCGGTGTATACTGAGCTCAGAGCTATTGGTATAAGATTTTCCACACTCAGTGCACTCATAAGGCCTTTCTCCACTGTGAACTTTCTGATGATTATGGAGACTAGTTTTTTGTGTGTAAGATTTCCCACATTTGCCACACTTATAAGGCCTTTCTCCAGTGTGAACTCTCTGATGAACATCGAGGGCAGAAATTCTGGTAAAAGACCTCCCACATTCACAACACGAAAAAGGTCCTCCCATAACGAATCTCTGGTCCTCAACAAGTGTGTCATCACAGCCAATGGCTTTCTTGCGTTCTCTTAGTATGGAATATTTTGCAGTTTTAAAACTCATTCCAGACTTGGAGATTTCATTTTGCCTATGCATGGCATTAGCACCCTGCTGCTCACGATATCTGGTGCTGGCGACGAAGCATTTTCCAACCTGACTAGAGGCAGAAGGCTTCCACAACACATGGAAATTGCATCTTTTTGCAACTGAGACTCTGTTCACACAGCTTCTGAAAGAGTTCTTTCTTGTGTCCTGCTGCTGTTGCTGGCGACTCTGTGCACTGAAATAAAATGGTATTGCACATGCGCCACACCGCAGCAGTGTTGTACTCTTTTGGGTTCCCTGCTGGTCAACCAAGAGGAAAATGTCTCTCAAGACACGCCCACAACTCTCACACGGGTGGGTATTCTGGGAAGGCAGGGTTGACTTTAGATTCATAGTCTTTGAGACTCCTACAGTGATATTCTGTTCACTGGGTGCCTCCACATCCTCTCGTTCACAGCAGCAACCTGAAGAGAAAGAAATGCGAGTAAGTACATACTGACCTACAGGGAAAGGGCATTATCATTGCTAATTTGCATATGTACCATCTGGCATGATGCTGTGCGATGATTTCCAAGACAAATAAGAGACTCATAAAAAGACCCTCAGGGCTGTAATAATAAGCGACTCATTCATGTAAGGCTACCAGCACACAGTGGGACACGAGGAAGACAGGCTGGCTTCAAGAGTAAATGCTCCCATAGGGGCTGCCTGCAAAACCCCTCCTGCCGGTGATGTCAGCTTGTGAGAGGACACCAAAGTGCCCCAAACCATGAAAATCCACCACAGCAGAGCAGACACGGCTGGATTTGAATGGCAATATGCGCACACTTCACTGTCCAGCAGTCACAGGTCAAGATGGGAGAGCACGGCAAGAAGACACCTCGGGGAAAGGGTTGCGGAGCAGATGTTACAGAGGTAGACAATACCCATGACTGGAAGTCAAGAGTGCAAAGGGAAATTATTAAAAGCAACAAACTGGCCATTCCCAACACTGGGAAACGACAAGTGCATTCAAGTGTGGCCACTGGCAATGGTGACAAAAACACGGTTCAAGAGACTAGGTTCCTTCATTCTGTTTTAACCAAGACTTGGAATCAGATTCTCCCCCACTGCCATTCAGCAATGGCAGACCCCCTGTGAGCCCATCCTGTCATGGCTGGATGCCTGTCCCTCTTGGGATACGCAAAGGACTGTTCCGTTCCCTCCCCTTAGAGAAATCATGTGGAATCCTGAGAATGCGACTCCAAAGAGAAAGCATGATACACGAATAACCAACAATTGTCTTTGAATACCTCTGCACCAAAAAACCAATAGAAAAAGATCTAATGAGTGACCACCACAAGATGGAAGAATTAAAAATCCAAGTGTTCAACTCCCTTCAAGAATTAGACAATTATCCATGATAAACAGCATCCGTCCAGGAAAGGGGAAGAGGCTTCAGAGACCACTTCTCTCAAACAGCTACAAGGTGGAGCGTAATACAAAGAGCTACACAAAAGAAGAGCAGGGAAGACTGGCACAGCAAACAGGATTAGATTAAAAACACAAGAATAAGAGCAAGAGTGTCTTCGGAGACACAGAGCTTGTGCTACTATTGACTCTAGTGGCACCTTTTGTGCCACAAAAGCCTCCGAGAGATCACTAAATATCTGCAAACCTTCAGCCCTGGCCACTAAGGACCCCCTTCAATCATCACAATGCTGATCTTGGACATGGGGCAGCAAGAATAAAGGGAAGTGAAGCTTCTCAACAGCCCAAAATACAGTATACCACCTGGCAAGCACCGCTGGATGCATATGCAGATCAACTACTCCTCTAAGCAGAACTGGTTCTTGAAGTCCAAAAAAAGTAACTGTTTCACCAAGTATCAGACATCGACACTAAGACATAGGGAAATACGAAAAAAATCACAACGGGAACATCACAAAGTGAGAATGAATTAAGCCAATACAGGGAGGTATATAAACTGCCAAAAAATAATTCAAATAATCATTTCTAAAAACTTCAATGAGGTACAAGCGAACACACATGGAACTCAACATAATGAACAAACAAATACGGCAACAAAACATGGGGATCGGACAGGGAGAAACCATAAAAAAGAGTGCAGCAGAAACCTGAAGTTGAAGAATACAATGAATAAGCAAAACAGTTTCCACAGCAGACAAGATCAAGGAGTCAAATGAACACATCAGCTCAGAGTCAGGTGATTTAAAATCCTCCATGGAAGAAAGAAAATGCGAGCACAGCCTACGTAATTTTGGCACAGCGTAGATACCCTATATTTGCATTATGGAGTGCCATAGGAGGGGAAAGAGAGAGAAAATGAGAGGTAGAGAAATGGGAAGGAAAGGAGAAGCTTAAGAAATTTATTTTAAAAAATGAGGTAAAGATTGACTTCAAAATATGACAAACAAATGTGAATAGCCACGTTCAAGATCCTCCCAGGTCCCTGTACGCACTCAATGCAAACAGGATTTCAGCATGACATTTTCTAATAAAAGTGTCTAAAATCAAAGCCAATGAAGAAGGGAAGGGAAGGGAAGGGAAAGGAAAGGAAAGGAAAGGAAAGGAAAGGAAAGGAAAGGAAAGGAAAGGAAAGGAAAGGAAAGGAAAGGAAAGGAAAGGAAGGAAGATCGAAAGACCAAAGGCAATACAAACTCCTCATGTAAGGTCAACACTCCCATAAGGCCAGCAATAGATTTCTCTGAAGAAAACTGGCAGCCTTGGAGAGTATCAAATGACACATTCAAAACACTAAGAGAAAACATCTGCAAAGCACAATAGTTATGCCTAAACCTCCCCCTCAGAAATGACAAGAAAGGAACTTTTCAGGAAACACAGAAGTTGAAAAAATTACTATCTATGCACCCTGTCTTACTAGAAATGCCAAGAAACATATATGTACATATATAGAAACATAAATGTATTTATAGATATATATATAGATGTATCTTTCAGCTGAAATAAAGGCATACTACATAGGAACAGGAAACCATGGGAAATCGTAAAACTGTCTGGTAAGGCCAGGATAGCATCAGGTTCACAATACTAACACAGTTCATTCGTGAAGTGGGCTTTATTTAACTCTAATGTATAGGACAAAATTGAAGTGCATGAAGAATAACAACCCTGGCTGGTTGGGCTCAGTCGATTGAGCGCAGGCCTGTGAGTCAAGGGTTTCCAGTTCAATTCCCAATCAGGGCACATGCTTAAGTTGTGAGACAGGGCCCCAGCAGAGGGCGCAAGAGGGCAGCCACACACTGTTTCTCTTTCTCCCTCTCTGGCCCATGTCTAAAAATAAATACATAAAATCTAAAAAAAAAACCCCAAAACCCAATGCTTAGAATATTTGCAAACAGATGCAAATATAAAAAGATGTGTACTTTGACATCGATACATACACAGGGATAATGAGGCAGAGTCAAAGGGTAGAATTTTTACATGCAGTAAACCTGTTTTCAGGTTACAACAAACTATTAAAAGTGTGAGTTTGATGTAACCTAATAAAAAACAAACCACAAGCACAATCCTGAGTAATGGAGGCACAAAAGACAAAGGTATTAAATATCTCTCTCTCTTAATGGAGGCACAAAAGAGAAAGGTATTAAATCTCTCTCTCTCTCTCTCTCTCTCTCTCTCTCTCTCACTCACACACACACACACACACACACACACACACACACACACAAAAGAATAGCAAGACAGGAAGACAAAAAATGAACTATAAAAGAGTCAGAACATATGACAAGGTGACAACAGTAGGTTCTTCAGGAATTCTCCAATCAACAGTATAGAGTGAGTGAAGGGATGAAAAACACAAGACACAAAAGCATTTGATCTCTTGCATCCTGGACATCTTCAACAGTTTTGCTCACACAAACACGGATAAAAACTTCTCATGATGGGTGGAAAAAAGCGAAGAGATTAAAAGGTACAAAATGGCAGTTACAGAATAGTCATGGGGATGTAAAGTACAGACTAGGAAACGCTGAGGACAGTGAAGGCTGATGTCAAAAGCCAGGTTAAGTGCTTGGCAAAGCCACGCTTGACCGCTTGCACCTGCAAGGGTGACGGGCAGCCAGAACTGCTGTCGGGGGCGAGGGTTGAGGAGCAAACAGTTCACTGCAAGCTTCAGCTGAATGCGACTGCAGCCTTGGCAGAAGAAAGCCCTATCATTTAGGTAGCCTGGGAAACGAACAATCTTTGTCCGCAGCACATCCTTGAGCCTGCAAAGCGTCCCTGAGCTGCATCTAACCAACCCCCTTAAAATAAACGTGGACACTGAGTTCAGGGTCAGTCTCTCCATCAGAGGGCAATGCGCCACCCGGCCTTGGCTTGTTCTTAAACTCTTTGCGTGGTCTCTTTCTCAATCTACCGTCGCCCACCCCACCCTCCGTCCAGGGACCTCCATTCCGTGGGGGTAGGGGCAAGGAAGGAGAGTCAATCACGTTCTAGCAATTATGTAAGGTGTCAGGCGGGTCTGAGATTTATGGAGATAATCACTTAGGAAGTTATACACTGTCTCACCACGAAACTAATGTAAGAATGTTTGTAAACTGAATATAAAAATTAAAAAAATTATAGAACTAAATAAGCAAATAAAGAAATAAATTGAGGCCTGGTTGCGCTTACTGTGTGTGCCAAGAAACCCCCCCAAAAGTCCCCAACATACAACGTATGCTGCTATTGTAGCAAGACACTCACTAAATCTTTATGGACACAAACAACCTCAAAATAAAAAGAGGTAAAAAACAGTCTATGCAAATACCTCCAAAGAGAACAGGAGGGTACCAATTTTAATTTCTATGTCCCCAACCACAGAGCACCTAAGTACATAAGGAAACAGCGTGAGATTGGAAAGAGGAAAATGCAATGCAACACCAGTAGAAAACTTGAAAATGCCCCTTCCAACAACGGGTAGATCATCCACTTTGAAAGCACTAAGGAATTACTGAAGTTTGAAAAACACTGCTGAGAAAACAGAAATAATACATACATGCATAGTATTTTACCCAGCCCTGGCCAAGTGGCTCAGGGAGTTACAGCGCTGCCCCATGCAGCAAAAGGCTGCTGGAGTGGGCACAAGCATAAGTTGCGGGTTCAATCTCCTGTTACAGGCAAGTACGGGAGGAAACCGATGGAGCCTTCTCTCGCCCATTGATGTTTCCCCTTCTCCCTCCCTTCTCACTCTAACAATCGATAAAAATATTTCGCAGTGACGACAAAAACTATATACAGTTGTAGAAATATTCGAGATTATAAAACATGCTTTTTCTCACTACTCAATGTGAAATATGTTAGGCTTCTGGCACCATTACTGAGGTCAATCTCTCCCCTATGAGGGCTCTGTAGAGCGGGTGTCGGGGCAGCCGGGAGAGCACGGGACTGTGCAAGAAAACCCGCCCTGCCAAGTCCAGGATCCACCCGGCAACTGGGGATGCAAATAGCGCCCACAGTTCACACAGGAGGACAGAGTAACCCCAGAGGAATGAAGGGTATGGGGGAAATGCAGAGACTAGTCCAGGTCACCGGTGAGGCAGAGGGTCTTTTTTTTTTTTTTTTTTTTTTTGGGGGAAACTGTGAGTTAGTTTATTAACACTTGGGGCAATGAACTGGAAAAAAGGAAAAAAACAAACACCCCTGCAGATGGGATCAGGGGTAAGACTGAGACCAGTTGCTGCATCCCATCGTTCCCCGGGAACAAGTCTGGTCAGGACCCTTAGAGCTTAGGGCAGAAGCAGCAAACTGCAACCCTGAGGAAAGGGAGTACAGGGCAAGCCAAAGAAGGGTGTGCAGGGAGAGTCAGTAGTCTTACCCAGTGATGACAGAAGAGCATAGTTCTCCAGCATCACATCGAGATACAGGCGTCTCTGAGCCTCCACAAGCAGGTGCCATTCTCTCCTGGAGAAATACACGGCGACATCCTCAAAGGTCACAACAACCTGTCAGAATCAATAAAAATGAGTCTGGAACAGTCTGGCTGACACCCCGAGTCCTACTCTTCCCATGCCCAACCCCCTGCAGGGCCCCTGTTCACAGAAGACACCAGCACCTGGTGCCAGAGCCGCCTGCTGTCTGCCTCACCCCGGTCCCATTGACCTCTCACACCACCTTCAGCACAGGCTGGCAGGCTAAGAGGAAGTGGGGCAGAGAAATGCCATCTGAACTCAGGGCCGTGCCCGCAGGGCCCCATTCTTCCTGCTAAGCCATTCCACGGAGTCTCCCAGAGCATGCCTCCAAAACACAGCGAGATACGGCCTTTGCTTTCCAGTAAATCCAAACACCAAGGACTCCGGGCCATCAGCTCACACTTCCACTAGCTGTGCACACCACGGTCTGATCTCTACTTGCCTCACAGAGTCACACCCAAGTTCGCGCTCCCTCAGCTCTGTGCCCTGCACACTAATGCACAAGTCACCACTGTTGCATGACTCTGTCTTCAATCCCTTCACAGGCTTCTAAACCCATGTGTTGAGCTGCCCACAAGACGCCTCCACTCAGTGCTATCTGTAACTTATAAAAGTGTGAACCAAAAGAACCTTCTGAGAGTCCCAAAGAGAATTAACCTACTACCATCTTACCCAGCCAGTTGAAGGAACCTCCACTGCTTCACCTGCTAGGACCAAAAACGCACAGCTGGTTCTGAACCCTTTCCTTCCTTCCTGCAGCTGCAAAATCTAAAAACTAATCTTGCCCTCTTCAAAATGTAAAGGGGAGGACGGTGAATGGAGATGGAAGATTGTATGGCGGAGACAAATGGTAATGGGAAACATACAATAAAAAGTAAATAAAAAGTGCACCGAGAATCCAATCTTTTCTCCTACCTCTGAGGCCCAGCTCTGGTCCATCGGCTCTCCGGATCAAAGAACTCGCCTGGTCCGGGGCTCCCTGCCTCCTCCATTAACCGCCAGAACCTGTCTTGCACTATGCAGCCAGAGGGAGCCTGTTAAACCCAGGAGAGACCAACTCCTTTGTCTTATGCAAATGCTCCATTACCTCCCTAAAAGATACCAAATTATCATTCTGCCACATTGCAAGTCTGATTCTTCATCCCCTTGCACTTTATTTTTAACACAAACAAAAGAGACCTTAGGTGCCTACTCCCAACGCTGTGGCATCGCCCACAATCAGTAGGTGCAGCTGTCCCTTCCAGGATGACCTGCCTTAAATGCTTACACTGGCTGGCTCTGTGGACCAATAAAAGAGAAAAAAGGACAGAGGGAAGACACTAAACCTGACCAGCTTAGAGGAGTCCTCCCAGATGGTCTTATGAACTGAGAGGCGCAAGTGCCCCTCTGTATGGTCTGAAATTAAAACTTTGTTAACTAAAATTGAGTCATGGCTAGCAGCCATGTCCTAGGCCTCTATCTTCCTGAGGAGAGTCAATGTTTACCTGCACCGAGCCCATCTTTGTTAACACGCCTTTGGAATGGCCGGGTAATTTCCTTGTTTCTTACCCCTCAGGACACAGACAGTGCAGGAGAGCAGAGACCAAAAATCCCCCTCAGTGATCTCATGGTGGCAATTAATGACATAGGTACTATCTTTTACTCAGAAATGTAAAAGAACTGTGTCTATTCATCTTCACCTTTTCTTTAGTATCAAGGATTTTCCTGCTTTATCTTCTCCCTCCTCCCTAACCCATCACCAATGGATTTCAAGTTCCCAACTTATATATCTTCCAGTTTGATTCTGACGTGAGAAATAATGGGTGAAACGGCCACTTTACGAAGAATCCTCACACTCCGTTGAGATTCCGTTTCCTGCAAATCCTCTTCAGTTTGGCTTAAACAAACACTCCAGAAAGTCCCTACGGTCTGATTGTTTCTTTCGTTGACACCACAAATGGGAGCTCCTTGGGTATCACCTGTGACCTGCACTCAGGATTGGGGTATTCCAAGGGTCTCCTCACTGCAATGCTGGAGAAGTCTTTAGACACTACAAGGTAATGTCACCGCACCATAGTGACCGGGACAGCCTTTTCCTCCCTTGTCTGCTTTCATAATGATGTTCAACGTCAGAACCTGTGGGAAGAAGCAGTCAACCACCTTCGGCTCCTGGGAAGCATGACTCAGCTGCATCTCGGCCCGGCCCGGGAGTCTGGTGACCTCCGGACAAGCGTCTCCTCAGAGCTGCCGCTCACCGCCCCGTGGCCTTGGACAAGGGCTCCTCTTCCTGTGCCTCTGTCCTCCTCAGCACCCCACTCCTGTCGCTTTGCTATCTCAGCAGGAGCCTAAGAGGCTTTCAGAAGCATGACACGAACTCCCTCTCTCTCTGGCTTCACGACCATCCAGGGCTCCCAAGACCATCAGAAAGAAGGTGCCACCCCTCAGCTCCCAGTCAGGACGCGCGTCCCCCTCAGACCGTTGGGAGCTGACGGAAGGCCCAGGCAGGGCTGCGGGCCTTTCCGGGTCCACGACTCCCGCACGTGTTCAGAAGGAGGAACCTCAGCCGCTCACCCTCACCCTCCGCGTCACACCGTTTCCACCTCCGAGCGCCCAACGACCCCGGAGGCCGCGACCGGGGCTGCAGGACGTGCCGGGCGCCCGGCTCCCGCGCTTCGGGGCTCGGCGGGCTCAGGGAGAGGGGGAGGGTCGGGGGACGCGCACTCACCTCCGCCGGGCGCCTCCGCGCGGCCGCCGCCATCGGACTCTGTGGGCGGAGCGGGGCGCGAGGAGCGCGTCCCTGGGCACGGGGGCGCCTGTCCGACCCTGACGCCGGACTCCCGGCAGCGGACTTGGCCTCACACCTCCTGTGGGGAGCGGCACGCTGGCGCCGTCACCATTCGATTCTCCGACCACAGCACCCCGACCGCGTGGTAACGGAAACAGAGAGCAGAGGAATTGCCCGCCAGGAGGCGCACGGAAGTCCCGCCCCGCAGTAGGGCCCGAACGGAAACGCCTTTCCTGGGGTCTTTGTTGCCTCAGCCCTGTGACATTCGGCGCTTGCCTTCTGGGTAAGGTAGGTTGTGCACTCCAAGGCCCGCTGACTGGAGGAGTGGATTTGCGGGTTTACACCCCGACAAATACCCTGAGAATAGTGAATCCGCCCTGTAGCCGCCCCGTGGGCATGATTTCTTGGACAAGGAAGTGTCTGTTAACGCCTGCTAGGCCTTGGATTCAGGCCTTGGATTGAGGGGCACGTGCCTCCTTCAGGCCGAATGTGGTTGGCGGACCTTGCTCTAGTCCCTACTACTGTCTCTCCTGCATCAGTAGGACCTACGATGCAAGTAAAATGCAGTAAAAAATATACTCATACTTAACGCACATCTGTGCCTGATCCTACCAGGAGTCTTAGCTCGGCCTGGGCAGCAGTGTGACTGGATTCCTCACTGATTTGATCTGCTGATGACTGTAATGTAAATTACATTTTTCCCCAAACAGTGGAGTATATTTTGAAGACATAAAAGACATGCTATTTCAAGAATTTAGCCCAGAAAGTGCATGTAAATTTCTAGACCAACCAACCGAATATGTTAATACAGGTAGTCACACTAATTTGTTTGATCTAAGTGCACATTGTAATCTATTAAATATGCAATACCACTAGGTGAAACATAATAATGTACATACCTTAATTTATTTTTAAAAATAATTATTTTTGGAGAGAGGGGAAGGGATGGAGAGAGGCAGAGAAAGATCAATGTATGGTTACCTCTCTCGCGCCCCCGCCGTCACGCGCCCCCTCCTGGGGATCTGGCCTACAGCCCCAGCATGTGCCCTAAATGGAAATCGAACCTGAGACCCTTTGGTTCTCAGGCCAGCACTGGGTCCACTGAGCCACACCAGCCAGGGCTACATACCTTAATTTAAAAATATTTTATTGTTTAAATAATGTAAACCATTATCTGAGCCTTCGTTGCATTGCATGCATTTTTTGCTGGTAGAGGGACTTGCCTTTCTGTTGAAAATGCATACTCTGAAGCTCAATGAAGCACATTGCAATAAAAGGGGTATGCCCATGTTAGGGAATCTAGGGTATAGACTAATAAGCTAGTGACCCCATCACGCATATGACAATAATGTCACAGGCATATAGGACAAACCTTTGAAAATTAAAAAAAGATCAATAATGTAAATATTAATGGGAGCCTACTCGTGAGTTCAATACCAATTAAGGTAAGTGTTGGAAAACTGGCAGAAGTAGATTCTGACAAAGCTCTTGGTATTTTTGTTAGTGTGAAAATAGTATCTAATAATCAGAATGAAAGAGAGCTTGTGAGTTACAGACATAATTAATGATTTATTGGTGAGATGCTGAGTAACCTGGCATTGTCAATTCAATGAGTTTGGGAAGATATTCAAGAGTTATATTAGGGTAAATGAAGAAATACACATCTATAATGAAAGTTGACCTATATTTAGCTGAGAATTCTTTTACATTACATTAAATATTATAATGAACAAGGTAGTATGGGCTCTGGCCAGGTAGTTCCCTTGGTTAGAGGGTCAACCCTAACACCAAGGTTGTGGATTTGATCTCCGATCAGGGCACGTATAAGAATTAACCAATGGATCCACAAATAGGTGGAGCAACAAACGGATGTTTCTCTCTTTCATTAAATAAATAAAAATCTAAATATTATTTGTATGCATAGATGGAATAAAAATTTAAAAATCAATAGATACTCTGTAAGAGGTCTTTTCTGATTTAAATATTTAAAGTGCCTTTTTTAATGTTTTTGATTGCACTAGGTGTCCAGGTCTCTGCCTCGAACCATCTTTCAAGCCTGGACTAGCCAAGATCACTGCAGGTTTTAAAACACTACAAAGTTTATGACACCTTGGATCCAAGGCATCATTCCCTCAGGCTATGTTGGAGTCCCTTGAAAATGGATGTGCCCTAGCACATCTCAACTAAGGAGATCTCAGCTAACAAAGGCTACAGTCTGGATGGGTGCCCCATACCAAGACATGCATTAGTACCCCTCTCAGTTTGATGGTAAAGTCAGCACGCTTAAGTCCATGAGGAGCATGAAGCTGCATCCAGATAGTGGACACAGTGTACATACAGAAGGCAGACTACCAACTGATTTAGACGAAATGTTCACAGCAGAACCTCAGTACAGACAAAGGTCCAAAACAGATAGTAATTGAAGCTGCAGATGCTGCCTAAAAGCACCAACGATAGAGTGAATGCACCCACCTGTGGAAAAAATTGCAGATTTTTATTTTATTCATAGATCTTATTCTTAATTTTTTTATATTTTATTGATTATGCTATTACAGTAGTCCTAATTTTTCCACCTTAATCCTCCCTCCATCAAGCACCCCCTGACTCCCTCATGCAATCCCCCAACTGTTGAGGGCACAGACCTGGTCCTTGCTGATGCATGTAAAGAATTACACATCAGCAAATCTCTTAGTGTGCAATCAGTTTATTAGTGATCTGTTCCCATGGAAGAGAAGGGGCATTGTTGGAACTGGGGTGGGGGCAAAAGTTCAGGGTAAAGCAGGGTTGCAAAAGTGGGGGTATCTGGAGGACGGGATGGCAAGGCCCCAGGTGGCCTGAATCCTAGTGGCCAGAGAGACAGGAGAGCCGAGTGCCAAGAGCGCCCAGAGCGCCAACACTTCCCCCCTCACAAACCCTTTGTTCTGAAGACTCAGATAGTTTGTGGGATGCAAGTAAAAAAAATTACATATCGATTAACGGGTAAATGTGGTGCCAGCTTTCCCAAAGGGATGTGACTACCCAAACTTACATATGTGTGGGAGTCTGTTAGCCTGAATCCTTATCTTGCTCCAGACCCCATTTGTTCATCTGGTTGTAAAACAAATACATGAGGAGGCAGATAATTAGAGTTGGGACAGGTAACCAAAGTTTTTTATGGGCCCTTTCTGTATGCATTAGGGACTCCCTCATAAAACAGCGGGTGACCAGAGGTAGACAGTTAACCAAGGTTGTTTTATGGGCTGCTTCTTTGTGCCCTGTTGACCCTCTCCCACATTCCAGATCTTGGGATGAAAGCACAGTTTCAAGGCTTTCTTTCCCAGAGAGTGGAAACTCTACATAGAGTTTCAAGGGCTGCCCTCCTTCCTTGCTCACATAGCGTTTTCTGTGATGCTGGAACACCAGGCAGTATTATCAGACCAGGCTCAGGACTGCTGAGTTAGCAGGTGAGACATTTCTCCCTCCTCCCTGCCTTGGTTTGCTAGTCATTCTCCCAGAATGATAAAAGGTGTTTCCTGGCACCCAGAATACTAGACTCTGGCCAGAATAGCACAGCAGTCTCAGAGTTCTTCCTATTCTGTCTCCTGCCTCCCAAACATTGTTCATGTCTATGGATCATGCATATAATAAATTCTTTGGCTACTTCCTTTCCGGAACTGCACTTTATATCCCCACAGCTATTCTGGAACTAACCATTTGTACTTCTTAATCCCTTAGCCTCTTCACCATTCCCATTCACCCCCTGCCCCCATATGGCAACCATCAAAACACTCTCCATATCTGTGACTCTCTGTTCTTCTTGTTCCTTAGTTTGTTTTTGAGATTCAATGTTGATAGATGTCTTTTTTTTTTTTTTTTTTGGCCATTATATTGTTCATAGCTTTGATCTTCTGTTTCTTAAGTGAGTCCCTTTGACATTTCATATAATAACGGTTGGGTCATGATGAACTAATTTAGCATTTGCTTCTCTGGGTAGCTCTTTATTTGCTCTTGGATTCTAAATGATATCTTTACTGGGTAGAGCAATCTTGCTGTAGGTGCCTGCTTTTCAAGACTTGGAATGTTTCCTGCCAATCCCTTCTAGCCTGCAAAGTTTCTTTTGAAAAATCAGCTGAGTCTTATGGGAATTCCTCTGTAGGTAACTAAGTCCTTTTCTTAGGCTGCTTTTAAGATTCTCTTTTTATCTTTAACCTTTGGTGTTTTTTTCTTGACCTTAACCTTCCTCTTTTGGGAGGTGATCTGCATTCTTCACTCTGGATTATGGAATATAATACAAACTCAATGAGATAATATATTGTTGCCTGCATCTTAAACTTCTATTTCCATCCCCTCCTTTTTTGAAAGGTATTATTTGAGAAACAGGGGAAGGGAAGGAGAAGAGAGAGGGAAAGAAACACCAATGTGTGAGAGACACATTGATTGACTGCCCCTTGGTGCCCAAAACTGTGGACTGGGCTCCCAATCCAGGCATGTGCCCTGACTGGGAATTGAACTCTTGACCTTTCAGTTCTCAGGGCAGCAATCAATCCACACCAGCCAGCATTAACCGTTGGCATTGCAATTATGATGAGTCTTGGACTGGGCCTCTTTGCTCCCATGTTGTTGAAACTCTGTGCTTCCTGCACCTGCATGTCAACTTAACAAAATTAGGACAGTTTTCTTTCACTATATTTTAAAAATAGATTTCCAGCTTCTCATTCTTCCGTTTCTCTTCCTGGTACCCCTATTATGTGAATGTGGTACCCCCTGAAGTTGTCCCCGAGACTGCTTATCCTATCCTCATTTGTTTTGGATTATTTTTTCTTGTTCTGATTGCTTGTTGTTTGCTTCCTTCTCTTCTATATCATTGATTTGATTCTTGGCTTTATCAACTATACTGTTCATTCCCTATAAACTATTCTTTATTTCAATTAGTGTATCCTTTGTTTCTGGCTGGATCTTTTTTATGTTGATGAGGTCCTTGCTAAGTTTCTTGA